CAATTAGATTATTTTCCATAATCGTTCAGCCCTAGTAAAAACCATTTTGGAGTAACTATTTAGAGTCCAGCTGACTATTAATATGTAATCAGTTAGCCTGGCCTACTCTTTTTTGGTTAATTCAAAATGACCAATTTCTGACTCTAAAAAAAAGTGGAAGTGAATACAAACATACCTTGTAGAGAGAACTGCCCCCTATAACCCAGACCTGATCGGCCTGATCAGCCAGTTCTGTTTCGATTAGCCTGAGGGCTGAGCTGAAGTCTGACGCCAAGTAGTGTGCTCCTGCAGGGGGCACTCTGGACCAGAATGACCAGTTACAGCATGTCAGTTAGAACAGGGCAATACTTTGTGTAGCAAAACTCTGCACTGAGTAATAAAATACCCCCCCCCACACACACACACACACACACACACACCACACACACACACTCACACAGACACGCAGGAAGTCAATGCACTGCACACTGGGCATTATGATAAAACGTGACACTGTGAAATGGCACTGTGTGTGACAAATACTTGCACTTCCTGCTGAGGACAATGTTGACTCTGTTGCTCAGAGGTCTGTTCTTCTCTGGGATGGAGTACCACGTCTTCTTGCCCATGATCACCACATTCTGCTTGCCTGCACAAAGACAGGTTTTGAATTCATTTAATCAATTATTATTATCACATGTTTTAGCGTGCAATCTCCAGTGCATGGAGTGTCAAACTCCTTTTATGTCACAGGCCACATACCGCCCATTTTGATCTTAAGTGGGACGAACAAGTGAAACTCCACTTTGTGTCTGTGTAATTAAGTTAAATATGTAACTGAAATTTGTCAGAACTCTTCAGACTTAAATTGTAAGAAATAAATGTGTAAAATTACAGAAAAAGTCCTGGTAGCTGACCACCCAGTCTTTTGTTTTGTCTTTTTTCTCCGGTCCTCTCCTCAATCAGGAGTGACATGTTTACCTGCATGTTCTCCTTAAATTGCTGGCTGTCTGAGTGGTGTCCAAAAAAATGATGTGGGCTTTATAGTAGGGGTGCAATGATACTCGTATCGATATTGAACCGTTCGATACAGTGCTTTCGGTTCGGTACGCATATGTATCGAACAATACAAAATTTGTATTTTATTTTGAGCGCTCAGTGAATCTGCGTTCGACTACTCCGCCTAGGCTGCACTGTCGAGCGCAGATCCACTGAGCG